CGGGCCCCCCCTCCCCCCATCGAATTGTGGGCACACAGGTCGACCGCCTCCCCTCCTCCCCCCACCTCCTGTACAGCCTACTAGTCAACCAAAAAGAATAACCCAGCCCCCACTACACGCTCTGAAACACATCGTTCTTGCACACAAAGTCCCCCAGCTGCCCGTCCTCTCCAATCAAGTGCACGCCGAGCGACGCCGGCTTCATGCTCACTTTGGCCTTGGTCTTCTCGAACAAGTTCTTCGGCTTGTTCAGCAGCATCTCCCCGGGCCTCTTGGCCCGTTCCTCCTCCTCGTTCTCCCATCCCATCCACATCACCACGGCTGTCGTGTCGTCCACCACCACCTCGTTCCGCCTCCACCGCCTCACGGCCTCCCGCACCAGCGCGTCACTCGCGTCGCTCGCGCTCCGCCCTTCCCTTCGCATCCGCCCGATAAAGTCCACCACCTCCTGGCTCGTCATAAACTCCCACACCCCGTCACTCGCCAGCACAATAAACGAGTCCTGCGCCCCTAGACTCAGATACGTCACCTCGGGAATCGGGCTAACCCCGTACTCGCTCAGCACCGTGTCTCCAATACTCCGAGTCATCGCCAGCCCGGGAGTCCAATCTCTAGGTAGCCACACCCGCAGCGGCCCCATATTTCTCTGCCATCGAGCAATCCGACCCCCGGCTGACCGCACTCTCCTCTTCTCATCCGGCCTCACGGGCTTCTGATCATGCGAGCAGTCCACCGCCTTGAACCGATTTCGCCCGTGTTCGGCAGACTGCGCCCGACCAATCACACACCTAGAGTCCCCTGTCCATGCCGTGTACATATCTCTCCCAAAGATCCACGCCACCACTGCCGTCGTCCCAGAAAACACGTGGTCGATCCCGACTTCATTCTCCGTCAGCCCCCTCTCGGCTCGCGAGAATGCTGCCTTGAGTGTTTCCAGCCGCTGTTTATGCAGCTCCGCCGTCGGCCCCGAATTTCGGTTATCCCTGTCCCTCCCTGTCCTCGTCGTGGCCGGCGTGCGCACCAGCTTGTCAGCGGCATCGCGAGACATGTTTGAAATGTAGTCGCGCGCATAGTGCGCAATGGGACGCCCTTCGGCGCCATGCCCATCAAACACCCCTAGAAACACTTGCAGTGGCGGCGGCGACGCGCTGTCATAGCGCGGGTTGATCGGCAGCGCAGCCTCTGTCTGCAACGGGGCTAGTACACAAAACGCGTCTTGGTTCTCCTTCCTCACCTCGACGCCGTGCATCGGTCCGCCAGTGGATAATGACCCACGTACCGGCTCCCACCCAGCCTTTGAGCATGCAGAAACATCTAGGCCGGCGTCAAAAGCGGACGGATAGACCTGGAACAAGCCCTCCTGATAGTCCTCGTCGGCGCTGTCACCGTCCGGGCGGACGGAAGAATGCGGAAGCTCGCCGTCCAGCGATAGCCGTCTGCGGAACGGGTCTGGGGCGGTAGATGCGGTGGCGGCGGGGCGGTGGAGCGGGGCGTGGGCGAGATGGTGGGAAAGGTTGTGCGAGGGGACTGAGTGGTCTGCGCGTGTGCCCATGTCGGTACGAGCGCGACTAGGGGAAACGTCGGCGCGGGCAGTGAGGGGACGGACATTCGGGTCGGGGAGGGCGGAAGCGACCGCGTTGTTATTGATGGCGGCGTGAGGAAGCGAAGGAGAGCGGGTGAGCTGCGGGGCCGGTTCGGAGGGGGGACGGTTTTGATGCAGCTG